TACTTAAAGCATTTTCTGTTTCAGGAATTTGGGGCTTGTATTTTCAGTCAGTATTTTCCATGTAGAAGTAGGCTGAATTTACCACAAAAGTGAGCATTAAATGATCACTCAGTTAAACTTGACCTTCAGTGTTGGTCTGAACTATCAGATCTGTTTTTTGAGTTACAGTTGCAAACACTTATTTATTGAAATGTGCCAGAAGTGAAGACAGCTTTTCCAAGGGAAGATACAAGAATGGCTCACTAGAATGGTCAGAAAGCTACCTTTCCTTTTTAACTGATTTTCAGTGTGTGTGGGGGGGGGAATTGAGACTTGATAGCTGCTCTGTGGGAGTGCTTTCTGCCCCCTCCCTGCTGGCCAGGTTCTTTCAATGTGGCATCGAAGCCTTGAGTTGTTGGGACTCAACAAATGGACAACAACAAATGTTCAGCCTTCTTATTGGTGTCAAGCCCAGGAAATTGGCAAATTAGATGAACAGGCCAAATGCTCCAGCAAGGTTTCATGAGCCAAGTGTGCGGAGGGAGCAGGCCGCTGCTGGCTCAGCCCTTCAGCCCAGGAATGCCCCTCCTTGGCTTTCTCAATCTGTTGCTGCCCCAGGTTGAAACACGTCAGCTCTAAGATTCAGGGACCCAGGGCTCTGAAATAACAAATTGTCTCTTTTAACTTTTCAGCAGCCAGAGTGTTTGAAAACTAAACAGAGGGAGATGTAGAGATGGTTATGCTTCCCTGTGTGATTCCCAAATCATTCATATTAGTGGTGAAACAAACGTATATGTCTACAACATTGATATAATCCATCCATCCATGGTATGTAATAGTCTTCTACAGAGGCTGCCCTAAGTGTGTAAATAGTGTTCATATTGGTGCCCCAGGTATAAACAGGCTGCCCTTGATTTCCAGTTTGAATTTAATATATATATCCGAGTGAAAAATAGTCTTTCCTTCTGTCATAATATCAAGTCATTTTTGGTATCTGTTATTGTTTTCTTCTTTCCTCACTCTCCCCCAAAAAACTTGTTTAAAAGTTTGGCATTAAAAGTTGGGTGGGGAGTGGTGGTATATACCCCTAATCTAAGCACATGGGAGGACTGAGGAGTACTCCATGTTCAAGGCCAGCCTGGGCTAGCTAGTGAGTCTCAGGCCATCCTGGAATCCATAGGGAGACTCTGTCTCAAAAATACTGACCAGATAAACATTATGCTGGAGGATTGCTACATTCTAATTGACAGTGAGCATATGTGGTTCATTGTTCGGTAAAGAATTTAATATGGGAATGAGTCATTTCCTGGTAAATCAATAAAACCAGCTTCCTATTTCCCTGTGGACAATCAGTGACTGGAAGAAGGGACTTTGGACTTGGTTGGTCCTTTCACTGTTTTGGATCAAAATAAATTGGTGAGTCACTTTGTTTATGAATCTCCTTGAAAACTTTTGACATGAGGTCTCACTTTGTAACTATGACTGACCTAGCTCTGGATGGTGCTTAATGAGCATCTCAGGCTACACTGAAACTTGCAGTAATCCTCCTGCCTCAGCCACCAGAGTATAGGGATTGCAGACTTGTTGCCAGGCTAATCAAGCCCTTTTTGTGTGATTCTATGTGTCAGGAGATCATTTCCATGGATATTTTATTTAGACAGAAAAATGAAACCTATATCTCAAACCATCATTTATAAATGCCACAAACTCCTAGGCTGTCATTTTTGGTTGTGGAGTGTTTTCTTCCTGGCTGTGCTGTGTGCTGGCTACATGTGTGTCTGAAGGGCATGCATTTTAAAGGCAAGGCAGATTGAAGGGTGTAATTTGGTCACATTTTGCTGACTGCACTCCTTGCTGTATGTCTCTTTTAGAGACTTTACTATTTTAGCCATGATTCGTTATTTCTTGACCCTACTCTGAGTAGGCCTCACAGTTTCTTGACTCTCTTACACATACAAACGGCTGAAGGTATAGCGAAGACATGAGCGGTCCTCTGCTGTCATTAGTCATTTTTTGTCCTGTATGTGAATCGGTATTTAACAAGAGAAAACTCTCTAAATGCCATTAAATGCCTTGTCTTTGTTTTGTTCTATGACCTGCACCAATTTCCAGTTTTCAAATTGGAATCTAGAATTTAACTACCACTTTTAACTCCCTGCCTTTTAATTTTGAAGATCAAAAATGGTAGAGCTGTTCAGGTGGTCAAGGGGCCTTTTCCTGACCTTGAATGTGGTTTGCTGCTATTTCATTAAAAGGGGGAGGGGAGGAGGAAAAGGAGGAAGAGGAAGAGGAAGAGGAAGAGGAGGAGTGAGAGCAGGTGGAGGCTGTCCTGCTTACCATTTTAGGTAGCATGAACCCTTGGGATTTTAAAAAGATCGCTTCACAGTCTGACACACAGCCGTAGAGCTCCATTTTTAACTGAAGGCGTCTTCCCAGCCTTCACAGTTCAGTGACTCAGGAATGCAGGGCAGGGATAGGGTGCTACAAGGCTTCAGATGCCTCATGTCTGACAGACACCATGTCTGCCGTGTGCATTGCCTTGTACTTTGGGTCTAGGATCAACAATGCCCTGACCTCCATGGTGGTAAGGGGGATGTTCACCAAGATCGGTTTCTTTCCATTTGCATAGGGTTAACACTGAAGGCAAACACAGCACAAGGGTGATTTAAGTTTTTTGTTTTTTTTAAATCTGTCATCCAAACAGTAATTCACACCACAGGTGTAGCTGAAGTTACCTGGGGAGCTTAGGTTGTGTGGGTGGAATTGTTCATGGAGATGTATTCCAAAGATATGTTACATCATTTTTTATTTTGTTTTTAAATATGGTATTGGTTAGCAGGAACTTAAGTTTGTGTGTGTGTGTGTGTGTGTGTGTGAGTGCGCGCATGTGCGCGTGCTTTTAAACTCAGGCTGAGATGTTGTAATATATACATTTTATTTACTGTGTATGTACGTGGGCACATGTACTACAGGGAAAGTGTGGGAGTCAGAGGAAACGTAGGGGAGTTGGTGCTTTCTTTCTCTTATTTGGCTCCTGGGGACTGAGCTCAGGCTTAGTGGCAGGTGCCTTTACCAGCTGAGACATCTCTTCAGCCTGGCATTGTTCTTAGTGTGCTTCCCCGGCACATCTAGAAAGTCTGAGGACTTGGCTTTGCAGTCTACGTAGGCTTTGATGTCTCGGCAGGACCATCTAGTGTTGCAAGTTAAGCCAACCACGGTTTATTTCTATGCAGTCGGAGAGGATATTTTAATTATATTATTCTATTAAACATACCACAATGGTTATTATTTAACAGAGAGTTTTATCTTCAGTGTATGATCACAGCTGTCGAAAGGATGTGTCAAAGATGTGTCCTGTCATTGTTTTTCAGATCTCTGTTCTGTGCCATTGGAGGCCCTAACCTTGAAGTGGTCATTTTGCTGAAAAGCAATTGATAAGACTTTTCTAATACTCTCCTTTTCCCTAAGCGCCCCACTCCCCTTTGCCAAAAAAGTACCATTTCTTTATCAGGTCTGAGCATTAGTTACAAAATACTGCTGGAGTGTGAAATGCTCACAAGTAGACCCTTTGTGAGGGTCCACTCCTCAGTTTCGTCCAGAGGCTGGGAGACCACTGTACTAGCATATGCTACCAAGACAGAGCTATCGCTAACTTGATGGAACTGCAGGCTGTTGGGAAGGTCAGGGCTGATAGTGAAGTTGAGTTGAACCTGCAGATATTTTCTGTCGCTTGCCCTCCCTCCGTAGGTATTTTCCTGGCAAAAGGGAGGCAGGCGATGTTCTTACCTCTGTGGCCGAGTCGTTTTCAACTGCACTTGAAAGTACAGAGAGCACAGTTTTGTTAAAGACTCCCAAAAGAAGAGCAGTTTTGTGTCAAGTAAGAAATCCACCCAAACATACCAATCTGACATAAACAACAAAGGGGTTTGCACCTTCTAATAAGAAAATTTAGAAACTTAGACTCTCTGAAGTCCCCTTTCTCTTTTGTTCCGTGGTGTGAAGAGTGGGTAGATACCTACAGGGTAGCCTCAAGGTGTTTTTCTTCAAGGTTGATGGTGAGTTTTTACTCCTGAACTTTTTCTCTGTGAACTAGTGGCGTGTTAAGATAACCCATTGGACCAATAGCTGTCGAGCCTCCGTGGGACTGGACTAGGCCCTCTGCATAAGCGAGACAAGACAGTTGTGTAGCTTGGTCTCCTTAAGGGGCCTCCTGGCAGTAGGATCAGGATCCATCCCTGGTGCATGAGCTGGTTTTTTGGAGCCCATTACCTATGGTGGGACACCTGGTACAGCCTTGATGCAGGGGGAGGGGCTTGGACCTGCCTCAACTGAATGTACCAGGCTCTGCTGACTCCCCATGGGAGGCCTCACCTTTTCGGAGGAGGGGATGGGGGTGAGTTGAGGGAAGAAGACTGGGAGGGAGGAGTGGGAGGAGGAAAGAGAGGGAGATCTGTGGTTGGTTGGTAAAGAATGAATGAAAAAATTTGTTAATAAAGAAAAAAATAGTAAAAGTAAAAGATATCCCATTGGTCATCTTTTTGATGAGAAAAGCTGGCCATTAAGACTCAGGTCAGTTACACTAATTTAAGTCATGTCCTAGTGGGTTAACATGCTATGCACATTTGGTGTAGAAAACTCAGGCAGGCTCTTGAATCTCGACACGTGTTTTCAAAGGTTTGCTGTGTAAGGCTTGCCTCTCTCATAGTGGGGAACTGTGGTTGAGAAGGTAAGTGCTGATGGGTAAGTGACAGCACAGATGTGGCTTCAAGGTAGCAGCAGTTCCCAACATGGGGCTTGAGACCCCTTTGGGGGGTTGACTGGCCCTTTCACAATGGTAGCAAAATTACAGTTAGGAAGTAGCAAGGAAAATGATTTTATGGCTAGGGGGTCACCACAGCATGAGGAACTGCTCGTAGCGTTAGGAAGGTTGAGAACCACTGGGCTGAGTTCTGTTAAGGTATGAAGATGCCTTTCTTTGGGCATGGTGTTTCTAAGTGTCTGTGTTCTGTGCTCTGTTACAGGTTGAATGAGGGATGGCCATCCAGTGACCAATGGGGATTTACTGCCTTGAAGGCACGCATGTGTGTGATTAAGGGATATACATGCATGACTCCAGGATTTACTTCCTTCCTGTCCCACAGAGTTACTGAAGGGAGTGAGTTATGGGATAATTTATAATGCGGCAGGCCCTTCCTCAAGACAGCCCTCGTCAAAACAGGAAGATGAAACTCAGGTTTCACCAAGGAGACCACAGCTTGGGATACTGTCTGGACGTACCTCTTAATTACAAGCAGAAAAGTCTTCATACTTTTCCATTTCTAACGCCCAGGCCCCGCAAGAGATATCTACTGAAAGGTTAGTATGTCCACCCTGTTAAAGTGTGTGGACACTGTTTAACTGTGTGCCTCCCACCTTTCCTCTCTTTGTTTTCTTTCAGACAGGATGTCATATAGCCCAGGCTGGCTTCAACTCATTAACTAGCTAAGCATAACCTTGAGCTGAGCTCCTCCTGCCTCTCCCCTCAAGTACTGAGATTAAAAGCATGCAGTGCACCCCCAGTCCTAGTGGTATGTGGTGCTAGGCATTGAACCCAGGACTTCACCCATGAGTGAAACATTCTTGTAACTGAGCAACATTCTTAGCCCTCCTTCACATTTTTTTTTCTAAAGGTTTTGTGCTGCCTGGGCAAAAAAAGAAACTTGGTTGATGTATTGCAGAACAAAGCTTCTATTCACAAAGGCCAGAGAATCTACAAACTACGATGGAAGACTGAGCAAGCATTCTGTGCGAGACGAGACTCCCTCCTGTCGTGTTTCCTCCAGCCTTCCCTCTTCGTTTGTGTATTCTTGCTCCAGTTTTGAGTTGGTCGAGTGTGTGTGTGTGTGTGTGTGTGTGTGTGTGTGTGTGTGTGTGTGTGTGTGTGTGGTGTGGCGGGGTCGGGGGTGTCAAGTGGGTATTTTCTGTCCTGGGCTTGGGTGCAACTAAGTGGTAGATCTTTTACTAAACATTACAGAGCTCTGGGTTACATCTCCAGCACTAAAAGAAGGACTCAGAACTTTCAGCCTAAAAGATTTAGCTGGCCTTGAGAGGGCTTTTGTGAGTGCATGAGTGAGCGCATGCGCGAGCATATATATATGTGTGTGTGTGTGTGTGTGTGTGTGTGTGTGTTTCAAGCAAGGAAGTATAGGAGAACATTTGACAGTGTTCAAGGGGACTTGTTTCATAACCAGTAACACTAAGTGTAGGCTTTTGTGCTTCATTTTCAACTTTAAATCCTAGCTTCAGCATGTATTACAAGAATCATTCTCCACTGAAGTGTCTGTGCACCCTGCGATTGCTGTCAAAGGTCCCCCCACACTGTCTCATTCAGGGGAGTCTTCTGAATGGTTCTCATTGATAACATTAGATTCCTGAGCACTGAGTTCTGCAAGTGGTGTTTTTTAGGTTAAAATGATCAAGTTCACCTTTCACTTTGGAATGCCCCAGCGGTTGGCAGCAACTTCTTGTATTAGAGAGTGTAAAAAAGAACCAGGAAGACTTCCCAAGCTCTTCCTTCTCTCCCATCTGCCCCGGTGACTGCAGCAGCCCCATAAATTACTGCTGCCCTTTTGAACTGACCTTCAGGTTCAGGAGATGTAAATAGTGATGGCCTTGACACCACCTGCCCCCACCCCGGTGTGCACTCTGCTCAGGAGAAGGAATCTCTTCAGTTAACTGAAAGCAGGTGGGCCAGTGGATCAGTAACTCTAGATACTTGACCGTCCCCAATTCTGAGGCAACCTGCCCTAGTCCTGTTTCTGGCCTAGGCGAAGGTGTCTCCAGAGTGCATCCACTTGTGTCTTTAGCTACTTTCTCTGTATTGGACTCCTGTGGGTCTAGCCCTTACTAAGGTGGCTCCGAGGACACAGAATATGCAAGTGACAACTTTTATATGTCTGTTAAAATCAAAATCAAGGAAACCAGCACTACCACTAACATGATGCTATACAGTGGTTTAGGCCTGGCTTGGTCTCCTAGCAATGTGATCTTAGGCAAATTATTTAACGTCTCTGTCTCAATTTCCTTAATTATAAAATTAGAATGATCACAATACTTACTTTTCCTTATTGTTGTTGTTATTATTATTTCTAACTAGTTTTTTATTTGTGTGTGCATGCATATGTCCTAGTATGTGAGACAGGTCCATGGAGGTCAGGGGACAATTTTTGAGAGTCAGTTCTCTCCTTGCACCATGGGTTCCAGGAATTCAAAGGCTTGCATAGCAAGAGCCTTTACCAGCAGGCTGGCCCTCCTTTCCTTTCTTTTTTTTAAAGAATTAAAGGAGAGCCATCCACTGAAGTATTTCTTAAATAAACATTAAGATTTCAGGGCTCCTCTGTCTATGAGAGTAATATACAAAAGTGGTAAGACCTACAGCCTAGGAACAGCCTCAGTGTGTGGATTCTGACTTCTGGAGCAGCCACTTCTTTTGTTACATAGAGATTGGGGTGGTCTGGGGGTGTATCAATATTGCTCTGAGTTTTCAAAAAGGGTTTAATGAGATTTATTTTGCTGCTGATAGTAATTTTTCTGGATTTATGTGATGTATGCATCGGGAAGAGGATTATCGGAATACGTGCTTGGTTGTATTGCCAGGTATTGTCAGCAGTCCCGGTTTATAGATCCACACTGTACTGCAGGCTGAGTCAGAGAGGTGCCCCTGTAGGGGACCATGATAGCACTGCAGGGGTTGGCCTGTGTCGCTTTGGTAATTCTTCACTTAGAAGCGAGGGCATGAGGAGACAGTGCTTACCCATCTGTCTACCGGAACATTTGTATGTATATTACCTGAGCATTTAGGCCCACCGTGGAGAGAGAGGATTTAAAATGAAGAAGAAAAAAAGGGAAAAAATGAAAATAAATTAACATGATGGAACCAACAGAAGTGTCTTTGCAGAGAAAGTGCCAACAGTTCTTAGAAGCAGACTTCATAGCCAGTAGCAAAGCCCTGGGTTGTTGTCTTTTAGAAGCAAAACCCAACACACAAAGCTGAAGCTGAAATCAGAACCTGGAACTGTTCCAGGGAAGCCTGTCCATGCAGGCTTCTGAGTCTCAGATTCAAAGGAGGGGAAAAAATCCATTTCGCAAAGTAACTTCTTACATTGATTGCTAGCTGTCAGTGTTTGATGGGTAGATCCTGAAACATTAACTGATTGAATTCTTCAGTGCTGTGAGGTTATAGTGGTGGCCTCCCTCTGCCGCTCTGCCCTTCTGAATTTGTACATGGACACACGAGACATGCGCTAAATGTGGAGTGGTGAGCGGAGTGCTACGGTTTGGCATCCGCTTGTTCTTTCCTAAAGAGAACCAGTGGAAAGACAGAGGATTTAATGGAAATATTATTTATTGATTGCTTATGCTTTGTGGCAGCTGATAAATTGTCCAGCTCCTGACCACACAAACACACACACACACACACACACACACACACACACACACACACACACACACACGCCCAATCCTCCCATTCCAGACACAGTGATACCCTGGGGGGCACACTGTAGGAATGGAGGTTGATGGTGTCTGCCTTTCTCATACCCCTGGGCTCCTTTCCCTTTGGCACTGGAGACCGCCTTATTTCTTTTCCTGTCTTCGATGAACTACTTTGAGAGTAAAGCAACTTAAGAGAGAAAGGGCTTATTCTGGCTCCTAGTTCAAGGGCATAGTCTCTCCTGGCAGGGAAGTGAAGGCTTCAGGAGTTAGATGCAGCTGCTTGAGTCATACCTACAATAAAACAGCAGACGGTGGTGAATGCCTGCTGCTGCCCAGCTCCCTTACTCCACTGCAGCCCAGGGGTCCAGCCACCGGAGGTGCCACCCACAGTGAGCAGATCTTCCCATCTCAGTTGGTGCCATCACAGTAACCCCCAGGGCCTATCAAGTTGGCAGTTGACACTAACCATCACAGGACAGTCACGCTCTGTGCTTCCACTTGAGAGTGAGAGAAGCATCTATCTTGCATGTTGAATTGTTTTGACTGTTTTGTTTTTAAGCCTAGGAGTTCCCTGCACCACAGCTCTGATTTCTAAGAGTTGTGACTCTCCTCTGCTTGGCGGGCACCTAACTCCCAGGGTTCTGTGTTTCACCCTGCACCCACATGCCTCTAGACTAGTGACCTCCTTAGGATGATGTGGGTGGCAAGAGGCTGTAGAGATCAAGGACCTCAGGAAGATGCAGAAACCAGGTTCTAAACCAGGTTCTATAGAGCATTCAGCCCTCTGTGGCAGGTTTCCACACTCAGCCAGTGCTGGCTGTACTGTGGCTAATGGATAGAAATGGGCTGAGGAAGAAAAGATAAGGTAGAGCAAGGACTATCACTCAGGACTTGAGATTTCATATGAGACAAAAGGAAGAGATTACAAAAGCATGGTGAAGAGGGGGTATTTCCCAAGAGTAGCAGTTTACTTTCTATTGAACCTAGGAACAATGCATATTCATTCATTGGCAGGCAATTTGGGGTAATGGAGTGTGGACAATTTCTGAATTTTACCTCCTTGCCTCCTGTGGTCAGTGCTGCCTTTTGTCGTGTTAGAAAGAAGGGGTGATGGTGGGGGGGTGGGCTACAAGAGAAAGCAAGTGAAATGCTTTCCAGATCTGATAACTTCAGAGATCTCAGGAGAAAACTCTGGCTCAGGTCCCAGGATGAGGTCACACAGTCTGCTGTTGGATTTATGTTGGGATGTCAACCACACCAAAGGCATGCGGCCACGATCCCTCTGCAGTCATTTATCAGGGTGAAGGAATGGCCTTTGGGTCAGTTGTGTATATACCCTGTGACTGCTCAGAACTACTGAGAAGGGTACCCTATTCATGGTGGAAGAAGCATTAAATATTCTTTTCTGTTGAACACTATGCAACTTCCATGTCATGAAATTCAAATCTTTTATCTCCTCCACCTTGTAAAACCTTTATGCAAATATTTTAATTCTTCCTTACCTGGTGAGACCTTTGTTTACACAAAGGCCGTGCAGCATTTTCTACACTCAAGTGACTTAAATGGCCCACCGCTTCTCCATTTCTTTGTGCTGATTCTTTGAAGACTAGCCAATTGTGAAAGCTTGTGAAGGCAGACCCCAGCCAATGGGAGAAGGCACAGTTGCTCCCTGTATTAGAATAAAGAGCAAGAGAAGTTTTTGCCACCCTGTGCTTGCTGGGCAGGCTTGGGTTTGTGCATCTTATTCGCAAGGATAGCCTTGCTGAGAAGCTGTCACTTGGCTTGTTTTTTTTTGTGAGACTGAGATTGTTCTGTTTCTAACAACGGGCCTATGTGGATATTTTCTTGAGCATGTCTGGAGGCCCAGTGTTTTTGTCTCCATAAGTCCTTTTGTGATTGTCCGTAGATTTGGGGGAAAGAACTCCTCCTCTGTGAAGCCATGTTTGAATCCGAAGCATCAAAGGCAAACTGCCATACCAATGCCTTATATAACCAAAGTACAAAAGAGCTGGTGAGTGTTAGGTTTGGGGAGGGAAAGCGGAAGAGGAGTTTGAGAGAGAGGTGCTGATGGGAAGTGTCCTTTAGGCAAGAAGGAGCTTTATTAATGCTGGTGGGTAGACAGGTAATACAGCAGCACAGCAGGGACCTGAGACAAGAGGCTTCAGGCTTAGCAAGGTGTCTTGGGTATCTACTCCTGAGGTTTTTGAGGATGTGTGTGTATGGGATTCTGCACTACAGGGAAACAAGCTTGGTTAATATGTGACCTATGTTATCTGACAGAGGTGAGAAAGCAGGGGTCATGTGACCCAGACTACATGTCAAGTGTCGTTTTTTTTTTCCCCTCTGGGTAAGAAAGTGGAGCTTGGTTAATGTTTGGCCTGTAAGATAGGGCCATTGTCAGGCTGCCTCCAACATTCCCCCATCAGGAAGTGTGTGTTGAGGGGGACAGGTGTGCACCCATCCTGTTTCTAGAGGTCCTTTTTGCTTAGGGCCTGGTTCTGATGATGAAGGAGCACATCCTGTGGTTCCAACTAGTTGGACAGCTGTGATAGGAAGATTACTTGGGTACAGGAATTTGAATTGGTCTGAGTACCATAGAAAGTACTATCTCATTCATTCATTCATTTACTCATTCATATATGTACAGAAATGTATATGTTAAGTGTATGTGTATGGCAATGATGTTCACAATAACTAGCGCTTATTGACAGCTAACTGTACCCCTTAGAGCATTCTAAGAGCCTAACAAATCTTTCAGCATATGCAGTTTGTGCTGCTAACCTGATTTATAGACAAAGTATTTTGTGGAACAGAGAAGTAAAGGGAGGCATGCACAGTCTAAAAGTTTGAAGAAGAATATACCACTCACTGAGACAATAAGCTGCGTGCTTCATAGCAAACTGAATTCCTTATTGTGCTCCCTCCTCACACTTGCCCAGAGGAGTTCACAAGTGAGCGGAGGAGTTTTTATGTAAAGCAAGCTTGGAAATGTGCTACTAGACGGAAGGCAATTTCAAGAGGAGTGTGCTAGCAATTACATGGATAATTCTCCAGTTGAATCCCTCCTGGGATCATGTTGAAAATAAGCGAAATTGAACTGTGTTCAAAGTAAGAGCAAAACACGCATGAAAACAGATTTCTCCAAGCACATGTGCCATGGTGAATCTATGAAGTGGTACCTAACTACCTCTGGGATGGTGTTGGTGATGAGAGAACGTAGCCTGGGCAACCAAAATGATGTCATTTATGTCTCAACAGTTAGTTTAATACGTTGGACATTAGCACTTTGGGCTCTGGCTTCTGATAGGTAGATGTCACTGGGAGTGGTCAGGTAGGGAGAGAGGCAGTGGAAGATTCTGGTGACTTAGGAGTGGCCATCATGAGCTATACTTTTCTCTGTCAGTCATCTCCTGGGGAACCCACAGTATTTGCTCATGGTGGTGTGTGGGAGACCAGAGGGAAGACCTCTAGGGAAGCAGGGAATGGCTAGGGACAGAAAACAGCACTTCACTTTTCAATGTCAGGGGAAAGATAATCTCAGTAAGTGTCCTTTAGTGGATGTGAATTCCAGGAGCTTCCTTAGGCCTCAGCTCTCTCTCTTTTAAAATTATTAGCAAATAAAATTGACCTTACTATACTCATTTGAAATTGAAATAGGTTAAAATAAAAGGCTAGTACTAGGGCCTAGAGCCCATAAGGGAGGTTTCCAATGTCAGTGACAAAGTGAGAGCAATCTGTCGCTTGAAGTAAACAGTTTCAGGGTCACCCCACTCTGCCGTGACCCAGGGCAGACTTCATCTCAGGAAGACTGGAATGAAACTTGTTAGGAAGATATGATGCATACAGTTGAAAAAGTAATTACTGTTAATATCCAGGTCTATCTGTCCATCTAGCTAGGATTACCTTTAGAGATCCTTCCCATACATTCAGATGGGTTCTGGTGACAAAAGACAGCTCATGGTTCAGACATTTGCCTCAGTGACTTAAACACCGTGGTCCGCCATTGACAGCAGGGTGGAGCTCTGTGGTCTGGCTGCCTGGTGGTGTATCCCTCTCTGTAATATCCCTGTCCTCACTGACCCAGAGTCTTAGCTAGGCTTCTAGAGCATCACCATGGGACTTTGTGCCTTCCTTTTTGATAATTCGTTTTTGTTTTGAGACAGAGTCCCACACTGTAACCCAGCCTCACCAGGAACTCACTGGATAGTCCAGGCTTGCCTCAAACTGTAGCTTGTCCTGCCTTTGCCTCCCAAGGACTAAGATGACAGCTGTATGCCATCATAACCCACCTCTTAAAATTCTGTTTTATTTTTTTGAGACTGTGTCTCATGCAGCCCAGGCTGATCTCAAACTCAGTATGTAGCTAAAGACAACATTGAATTCCCTGCCTCCACCTCTGGGTATGAATTCCGTGGAAAAATTATTATTATTTTTAAATTTCTGGTAGTATGCAGTTTGATTTGTTGGTGATTTTCTAGCTCTACTGTAAGGTCTTTGAGAGTGTGTCTACTAATTTTTCTTCCTTTAAAATGGTATATTTTACCATTTAAAAAAGTATAAGATGATTGCTTATTTCTGCCATCTCAGCCCTTGGGACGCTGACGCAGAAGGGTCTCTGTACTACAGTGCGAGGCCGTGGCTCAAAGAAAAACAAACAAATCATTTTTCTTTCAATTTTAATGTACTACAGATATAACCTAGAGCCATCAATACATGGGCAAACACTCCAGAGATGGACCTATTTCTAGCCCCTTCTTTTAATTTCCCCAAACCTCAGTTTCCTTGCATGTGAAAGAGGGGACTTAATAAACAGGCAGTAAGCACTTACTGAACTCTGGTCACTGTGACAATGAATACAAGTACTTAACATGCACTTGCAGCTCTTAGGATGTTAAGTTAGCAGCACCCCCCCCCCCCACCTCCTCATGTCCCCTACCAAGGAGGAGTGCCCCCGAACCCCTGTAGGCTGGCTGCCTCGAGGCCATTTACCTTTCACTAAAAGCCCAAGAACCCAATCTCCAGGGTTTAGTATTGATCCCATCTAGTCCATAGAGAATATGCTAATCATCTTTGCTAAGTGCTTTTGGCCAAAGGTGTAAAAGCCTTATTCCATTTGGGTCATAAAAAAGCAAACCCCTGAAATTTCCGTCTTGGAATTTGTGATTATGGAATTTGCATCTTGAAAGGCAGTAGTATCTCAAATTTAATGATAAGCCATTTTCAGTGGAGTATTCATAATTTTTTTTCATGACCTCTCTGGTTGAAAGAACTACAGTAGGGTATAGATTTCTGTGGCATACTATTTAATTTCTATAAAAATTATGCAAATCCTTCCTTTCTTTCTGTATCAGCTGGTATGGCTTTGGGGGCGGGGGTATTTAAAGCTATTCATGTGCAAGAAGCAAAACTTTTACAGAATGGTACTTAGGCTGTCAGTCTGCCTCAGTTTCTTCATCAGTGAATATAACCCTGGCCAGCTGCATACCTCCCTGGAACATTAGGATGAATAGCTCCGAGCTTGTAAAGTACTTTAAATGTCTTGGATGAAAGGGTCCCTGTAAGTATAGGTCTTAGGAAGGTATTATATGTGGTCTTTCAAAACTGTAGTGCAGCCTGTTTGGCAGGAACGCTAATGCACTTCTGGCTTTAGAGTCGTAAAGATATACATTGAGAGGCCTCGGGCTTCGTCTTGTGAGTTCTCGAGGCAATGCGCCTCCACTTGCTCCCCTGTTGCAGAGATTCTGTCTGAAGCGCAGGTACCTGCAAGTGTGCACACGCTGAGCTGCTCTGCGGATGACAGGCTGCCTTGGCTGCTCTGGTATTGAGAAAGCTCGGGCTGTTGGTGAGAGGAGGGGCCCCGGGTCCTCTTGGGACCCTTTGGGGCTGCTCTAATATGGGGAGAGAGAGAGAGAGAGAGAGAGAGAGAGAGAGAGAGAGAGAGAGAGAGAGAGAGAGAGAGAACAAGCACGTGCACTAATGTAATGTACAAAGTAATTACAAACCAATGTAATGCTGAGGGAGAGGTTTGTCACGTGCTGATTTGGGGTCTGGATTTTCCAATCAGTGGGCCCAGTTCTACCAGGCAAGTTGGCTACTTGTCATGAAACTCAGTTTCCCTGTAAGACAGCCCTAATATTTATATTACCCACAGCCAGAATGTAAATGGAGATGCAGATATACATATCTGCATGATGAAAAATTGATAAACTAAAGACCTGCCAAATAAAGTGTACACGAAAATCCTGTTATGCATACAACTGTACCTTTACATGAAACTTGAAGGCCAGCTTTGAATTCTGAGTTTTGAGACTCTTAAGAATCCCCTACCTACTAGTTGGTATGGAAATACATAGTAGTGATTCTTCAAGTTCCTGTATGATTGGTAAAATGCACACACACACACACACACACACACACACACACACACACACACACTTTATTTGAATTTGAGACAGAGTTTTTACTCTTGAGCCCAAGCTGGCCTCAAACTTACCATGTAGTTCAGGGTGCTATCAAATTCATGGCCATCCTCCTGCCTTGGCCCCCTGAGTGCTGGGATTCTGCCTCAGTGGATTGTATAACGAGGACAAGGTGTGCCTGAAGGAAAAAATCTAAATAACCTTAGTAGTACATTCAGGCTGGTGCACCTGATCCTGAAGAGGATATAGGGCTTAGTGTATGTGTACTCTTAGGACATAGCATTGTTGCCTGTGGCAAATACACTTTAGCACAGGGTCTCTCTTGCCCAGCATGCAAGATGTACTGCATAGAGGGTAGTAGTGAGCCTTCTTCCAAGTGTTAGGACTGCAGGTGTGCACTTCCATGTTGGTCTGGTACTGGTGCTGGATATTGAACTCAGGACGTCGTGCACACTAGACAAACACTGGGCTACACCTCCAGCTCATGAGCATTCTTTATAGACTATGTATAATTATGCTTTTAGGAAAGTTAATATAAAGTATGAAAAACTTTCTTAGCAGAAAAGCCTCAGACTAGGTAAATCATGTCCACATTTACCAACGATGAGAGTGAGGGCTATGTCCTAGCAAACAGAAAGATGTCTGGGTTTCGGTCTCTAGGACCTAGCACAGTGCTCTGTTGTTTCTTGGTATCGAATCTGTTCATTCTATATCACAAATTCAATACGTATTCTTGGCTACTTCTCTCCTAAGTGTTATCCTGGGCTTATTGGCAATAGCAGTGAACAGATATAGCTTCCTGTCTTCACAGAGTGAATGCTTCATAAAACAGAAAGTGAGATGTAAGGGTAATTGTAAAACTGTGCTGTTTCCTTTATAGTGGCTTCTTCTCTGGCCACTCAATTGTTTCATACTGATACATTATATCTCCAGACCAGCCATGATTAGGGAATACTTCCTCTAGCAGACATAATAGAGAGTCACCATAGAACAAGAGAACAGGCCATTGCTTGATTAAATGACTTGGGTTTTGTATGGAGCTATATTCAAATGCTCAGGTTCTCACTGTTGGAAATAGTCATGTTCTTTGGAGCTCTGATGTTCTGGAATGCTAGCCTTTTCATCTTTCAGTCTTTGCTCTGTTTAAGATGTTGCCCTGGGCTCTATGAGAAGTTTCAGAGACACTGCAGTATATAAAAGAACTTCAGAGTAGTTGTTGGTATGTCCTAACCCGTCAGTGTTAACTGACCATACTACTTATCTGCCCAAATCCTGAATGAAATGAGTTCCTTCCCCTCCCTGACTCCTTCCGTGTCCCTGAAGGAAGTTGTCCCTGAACCCTGCCACACAGTAGCTGCAGATACTTTTCAACACCTGGAGTGCTGTCCTTGTGGTTCAGCTGACTTCTCTTGGAGACTTCTTCATGAAGAGATCAGTAGGATTTATCGAAGCTACTGGAAAGCTACTGGGAAGTGCCAGGTGGATCCGGATGTAAACTAATTGTGAAATCCAACATAGAAAAAGTCGCCACCCCCCCTTTACTTTTCTTCTCTTCAACTCAATGCATTTTAAAAAGCCTTTTGGTTCACATAAATATATGTTATGTGATCTGCTGTTAAAGGGCCCACCCTTCCTGGTTTGGGACAAATACCTCCCTGAAGCAAAGAGACACCTTGACTGTTGACACCCCTTTGTGGTGGCAATCATAGGTGAGTTTGTTTTGCTAATCAAAATGTAATGGAATTGCTTTATTGAGAGGTGTAACAAATATTGTTGATAGTCAGGAACTTCTGCTGTTTGAAGAGGGGTCAGCCAGTTCTCACTGTAAGGTTTTCACAGTCTACTACTCACTGTGGGGTAATCTCTGTGGGTGTGGCTCTTCTGTTAGTCTTTCTACTGTAATTTTTAAAATTTGCTATATTAACTATAATCTACCCAGATAGAGTTAGGTTTTTGCCAATAAGCTACAAAGTGTGGTGCAATTCTAAAGGAATGAGAAGAAGATTGCTGACCAGATTTTATGGTTTTGCTAAATAAAAATGTGATTTAAAATAAAGTAAAGCAACCAGTTTTGGGCTTTGTTTCTAGCATGTTGTTGGATGCTAGCAGGTTGTTCAAGGACTCTGGGTCTTCTCCTTCCTTCCCTCCCTCCCTTTCCCTGGGATGGAACCCAGGGCCTCATACATGCTAGGCAAACAGTCTCTCATGGAGCTGTATTCCTAGCCCTGGATCGTTTTATTTATCTAGTATTTCTGGTATAATGTTTCTTTTGAGTTTAAAGTTCAGGGATTAATAAAAGACCCTTTGAAGCTGTAGTGTTTCTTAAACCTAGCTATATAATACATATTATAATACAATTGTTTAAGAGCCTTGTGTTGTTACATCTAAAGTTGATGTGGTGTCAGGTGCTTTTAGTTCCACTAGGGCCAAGAGAGTCACTCAAGTTAGGATTTTGAGACTAGCTTGAGCAGTACAGCCCAAGTCTAAATCTGAACGCAAGAATGAATGAGCATGGATGAGCATATCCTGACTACCTGTCATTTTCTAGTTTAGTCAGCCTAGGTGTGGCCTTTGGAGCATCAGGTCCCTAGGGACTCAAGTTATAGTTTGTTGTACGTCACCATACGGGTGCTGCTAATTGAACCCAGGTTCTCTACAAGAACAGCCATGTGCTTAACCACTGAGCCATCTCTCTAGGCCCTGGATATGTATATCTTATGCGAGTTCCCTTGTGAGAATCACTGGTACTTGTAGTGGGGAGGGTGGTATGGATCCCTGAGAATTCAGGAAGGCTCTGGAATTTTGTCTTCAGACTGCTGTGAATATGCATCTATTTAAAAACTGTATCTCATCATGTATCCCATATATTTAACAAGCTTTGATTAAAAAAATAAATTCTCTGACCCAGAGTCTCTTTTAGGAGTTGGTTCTTACAAATTTCACTAATCCAGTTCATCACTACTGAATGGAATTGCAGTGATTGTCTGGGGGTAAGTTTCCATTGCTTGGGATCGTAGAACTGGAGCTGGAGGCTCACACCTGATGGAACTGAGAAATTGTGGAAACGGGGGAATTTCCCTCTCTCTGTTTCTTTATGGCTGGTTTTGGCCTCATTTACTGAGATTTGACCTTTCTGATAAGTTTCTTGACTTCTCTGGAATGCAAAGTTGGGGATACTAATATTTGCTACCAGGTAATATTTGTTCAGAGATGTGAGAACCTGGGGCATCAGGTAACTCCAAGTGTGATCATTAACAGGACCCAGGAAAATGTTGCCAGAGATAATGGTACCTTTGTTGCCGCTGACACTCCCCTCCCCTCCATGGGACTGGAGAGAAAAACCGGTATTTGTTATCATATCAGACAGAGAATTTGGAAATAATCAAGAGCCTGCATTCTTTCTAACAGTCCTTCTTGTAGTCACAAGTATCTTTCTTTCATGGAAAGATAAAAATGCTTGACGAGGCATTAATGTTCCATCTTCCATCACTAGGGTCTTAAGGAGCCTGAAGGAGCCTCTACCTCCCTCTGTCTTCTTTTATTGAAAGGGTGCTTCTTATGTGGTGGTCATTTCAGGAGGGCTAAGGACAAACAGCAAACACACCAGCAGCTTCTCAAGGAAGGGAGCTTCTGTAGCCTTTGGAAAGCAGATAGCTGCTGTAATTCCTGTGGAGGAAGCTCGTGATGCTGATGGCAAATTCCACTTCCATAAACTAGACCAGGGCTTTATACAAATAGCTACATGTTCATTGGTTGGATCAAGACTGGGTATCAAAACAATAGAAACAAACCCTTCGGTTCCCTAACCTTCGAATGTTTTGCATTCAAACATCTGCCTCTTGTTGGTGGTTATATTTGCTTTGATTGCTGCTCTGTTCCAGCTGAAGCCTAGTTGTTGCTGGCCTCGTGGTAACCTGCTTAGGAGGGAGATGGCAGTGAGAGAAATGGCTGGCTTAGGAAGGATTGCACTAGTTCATCCTGAAAGCACCTTCCCGATCCTCTGCTGTGGATGTTCTGTATGGCAAATGTGTTGCTGATTGGTCAATAAATAAATCACTGATTGGCCAGTGGCCAGGCAGGAAGTATAGGCGGGACAAGGAGGAGAATAAATCTGGGAAGTAGAAGGCTGAGAGAGACACTGCCAGCTGCTGCCATGATAAGCAACATATGAAGATGCCGGTAAGCCACGAGCCACGTGGCAAGGTATAGATTTAGAGAAATGGATTAATTTAAGCTGTAAGAACAGTTAGCAAGAAGCCTGCCACAGCCATACAGTTTGTAAGCAATATAAGTCTCTGTGTTTACTTGGTTGGGTCTGAGCGCTGTGGGACTGGCAGGTGAGAGAGATTTGTCCTGACTGTGGGCCAGGCAGGAAAACTCTAGCAACAATCCTCTCTCCATTTTAATGCCCCCTCCTTTATTTTCCCCCAAGGATATTTCAAAAAGCCATTTGGAAACCTGCTGTTTAACAACCACTACCACCACCACCACCACCACCACCACCACCACCACCACCACCACCACCACACACGAGAGTTTAATTGGAGTTAACCCTACACAGGGGTAACTCCTCCAAGAAACCATGGGTTGCCAAGTAGAAAGCCCAGTGCCTGGTGTGAGATACTTCCTCTTCAGATTGGTCAGAGGTGTCTCAAAGACTCTCAAAATAATATAGGATATTGCCATTGACTTTTTCTTGCCCATCCGAACTTGGTGATTAGACCCTATTGCTCAAGAATCACACATTTTGGTTACAGGACATGAACAAATGACATTTGAACTGCTTAAGAAGCTTCCTTTCTGCTGACCAGCTGTCATAATACTGGAAAGTGCTAAAAACCATCAGTAGTCTTGCCTAGCTGTGAAGCCTGTGAACCACATTAATGACCAGCGTGAGAAGATTTGCCAAGGGGTGTAATAGTGGCATGAATGTTATAGAGGTAAGCAACCACTTTCTGATTGGTTTTAAGCTCTGATGCACAGGAAGTAATGCATGCAAGTTCTGTAAGTCGGACCAAGAATTCATGGTTGGGGAGCTCACTGGCCATAGCGGGTGAACCTAGTTACTGTTATCGTTACTAAAGGTAATATGCAACTAAGCTCTAGATTAGTGTCTCTATACCCAGAAACTAGTGCAGATATTAGATCTCACCACAGACATTTCTTTATGCTGCAGATGGAGGTTAAGGCAGAAACTCACAAATGATAACTCACGGAGAATAAGTGTCTGTGGAGTGCTTAGCTACTACAGATGGGGAGTCTATATCACTTCTATCTCGGAGGTCCCAGACCATATCTGAAGAGAGGGCAGAAGGAGTTGAGAGCCAGAGGTAAGGAAGGACTGGATCAAAACAGTATCTTCTGGGCATGATAGGACCACTGCATTTATGAACTCTTAGCTGCTCTAGTTACCTGCACAAGATTAAACCAGTCAATGTTCCAACATGGAAGAGGGAGTGGCGCCTGAGCTCTGCCCCTGAGATGCTTTTGACAATAGATGACTTTGAGGTGAGAGAAAATCAGTTTTCTTGCCTACAAACCATGCTCCAGTGGATGCCCTCACACCCCTGTATGTGTGGGCCACAGAAACTAGACTGGGTGGATTATTAATGAGAAGAAAGAGGACGCAAGTTGGGAGTGGGTAGTGAGGTGGGGTGGATCTGGGAGGAGTTAAACAGGAGTTGGCATGGATATGGTCAAAATACCTTGTAGGAAATTCTTAAAGAATTAATACAAATGTTACTTTTTTTTAAAAAAAGAACATGCTTAAAGGTTGTTGTACAGTACCCTCTGGTCCATGGATCCTTTGCAATGAAATATTTCCTTGGAAGTTATAGGAACTAGATTTTGAAATGGGAGAATTGGGTCCATAATAGCTTTCTTACTATCCAAAGAAGAAGGTGATGTTTCTCTGCGTTGTTAGTAAAATTGTAGACTTGTTTGGGGGTAGGTACCATGAGCCTTGTCCTGTTGGTCTTCTGTTCTCACTTCCTGATACTCTGTAGGTGACCTGGAACTGGCCCCTGATATGGCATCATCTGGGATGTTGCTAGCACTTTTTTTTTTCTTTTCTCAGTAGATCTTTAGAAGTTCTTTTTCCCTTTCAAAACAGAAAGCAGACAGTTTTGGCTTACGTTGCATACCCTATAGGTATGTCTGGCTGTATCTGATGAGTGAGCTATTGTCCTCATGGTTACTTCCTTCCAAGAAAGTGTCTGTCGCCGTGCTATGCATTTCAATCATCTTTGTTATACCACAGCTTGAAAAACCTTTAGGGCAAGTCAGAGAGGCCCTATCCACTACCTTCTCTCAGACTTTAGAAGACTGGCTGAACCAGATCCAGCAGTTCAGATTTCTGTGTTTTTCAAGATTCCTTTAGTGATAATCAAGCATTTTATTTAGAATCGAAGTTAGGGGAGGGGAACAGTCTCCAGGTGTTGTTTTTCTTCCTGGGAACATCAGTCTTGTGGGGAAGTGGAACAAGGCTGGACCACTTTGCTTAATGAATCAATGAGGCCCAAGAGCTCAGGGCAAGGCAGATATCTGGAGCTCCCAGGCACTGCTCCTTCACATTCCTGGACCCCTGGAATCATTCACAGCCTTGTGTCTTGGAAGACTTCTGTTAAGACCTGTAAGGCTGCTATTTATCATTTGCCATGTTTGGTGGCACTGGTTCCTTTGGGTTTGACAGTAGGCAAATGTTTGTTTTTCTACAGCTTTGGCCTAGTGCCTCTCTTCCATCGCTATTGGCTCTTGAAAAACAAGACCACACCAGAGTCCCTTTGCTCTTTCTCCTTCTACCACAGGACCCTGCCTGCTGCTTTTCACACTTAAACTTGAAGCTGCTTGGACTTGGATGTCCTAGAGTGAGTGCCCGATAGGAAGGCTTTTCTCCTGGGTCCTTGTAATGTCTCCCTCTTTCTCTGGTTTGATTTCTCATTTGCCTTCTCACAATTAAAAATATAATTTATTCTGTGTCTTATCTTGGAATGATCTGTGCCAGGAGAGTTAATGGGTATGCAGGCAGGTGCACATGCGTGTGTGGACACACACACACATACACACACACACACACACACACACACACACACCGTGAAGGGACAGAGGATGTTGGTGGTAAACTAAGGGTGATATGCCATGGTTTTGATTAGGAGTGTCTGCTGTCTTTGGGCTCAGTTTAGCAGTTGTCCGCTGTGGAGGATGGACTGGGCAACAGGCAGGCTTGTTTCTCATCTTTCCCTTCCAGAAATGGAGTTCATGATGGGGAGTAGAACACGGCCTCATTATTGGCTTTCCTGATGATTCTATGGGAAAGGTATTGCGCAGCCTCTTTGAGACAATAGGCACTTTAGAGTTAAACCTCACATTCGTTCCCAGCCAGTGCTTACTAAGGGAAAATAAAGATACATCTCTTGTGTCTGATTTCTTCTAACCCCTGGACTTCAGCGAACACTGTAAATCACTGACTTCTCAACCTTTACCTTCATTCATTAAAAAGAAAATTAAAATGACATTTATGTATTTTGTGTGTGCCAGCGTGTACATGTGTATCATGTGCACTCATGCCCTGGTGTTTGTGAGGCCGAGACAACTTGGGGGAGTCTGCTTTCTCTTTGCATCTTGTGGGTCCTGGGGATCCAACTCAGGTTGTCAGAATTGACAGTAGTACTAACTACCTTCATTCACTGAGCCATCTTGCCAGGCCCACCTTCATTCTTTTACCGTCTTAAGACTACCTCCTTGTCTCCATGGTACTGGGCTACGTCTCCATCTTCCTGTCTAGGCACACCACATTAAATTTGAACATGCTCAAAACTCTTCCATTCCTTTCTTTACTCAACTCCCCTCAACTCCATATCCATTCTGTCATACTCGGTTGCCCAAGTAGGAAGGTGGATGCTTGTGTCTGTATTCACACAGCCAACTGGATCTCCAAGTCTTTTTCATTTTACTTACATTTTATTTACTAAATATCCCTGGGCATAATCATCATTCTCTCGATTTACCTGGTCATTATTTAGTTCATTTCCTTATTATTTCTTGTCAGAAAAAAGATGTTACTTGACCCTTGACTCAGGGTGTTTGAGGAAATTTTTATCACTCTTCTTCCTTGCCTTGAAGCCTTGAGTATAGCTAGTTCCTTTGACTTTTCTGTGTCCTTTTGGTACCCCACCTCTCCACCTCCCATGTGCCCTAATTTCTAGTGTTCCTAAGACATTATGCCTTGCCATGCTCTCTCTGTGATTGGACCAGTCCTATGCTCTGCTCACTCCCTTGTCTCTTCTTAGTGATCTCCTGCCCACTCGAAAGCCAAGCCTTGGTCCCTTCCCCGTGGAACCTTGGCTAATATGCATTTGTCTGTGGCCCCTTTGTTGTAGCAAGAAATTATACAGCTGGGTGGTGGTGGCGCAAACCTTTAATCCTGGCACTCGGGAGGCAGAGGCACGTGGATCTCTGAGTTTGAGGCCAGCCTGGTCTACAGAGCAAGTTCCAGAACAGCCGGGGCTCTACAGAGAAACCCTGTCTCAAAACAAACAAACAAAAAAAAAAAAAGAAAGAAAGAAAGAAAAGAAAAAAGAAAAGAAATTGTAGTTTATTTGCATTACCTGTTGGACTGGGTATTTCTCAGAAGTGTCAGTTGAGGATGAAGGCTCTGGTTGTGGGTTTTTTTTTTTCCTTTTTTGTCTATCATGGTAAAAATTCTGCATTTTATGTCTAAAATGGGTACATTGTTATAGTTGAAATGAGAATAGAATATAAAATTTAGAATTTAAATGGGCAGGGGTTAGGACAATTGGAGTGGGAGGGTCCTGAGGGAACTAAAAATTCAAATCTCAAGAACTCTAGCAATATTCACACTTAATATTAAAATAAATCTTAACTAATGTCTTTATACATTGTAACAGGACATCTCGATTCTGATTCCTGCCCTTATTGAAGACAAACTTCATATCTTCTAGATTAGAAAGGCTCCTCTCTGTCTCAGGTGTGTGAAAGTCGTTTACCTTCTAGAATCTGCAATCTTTCCAATCATGATGTTTAAATTCAGCTCAGGCACAAACAGACTGGGCAGACTGGTTCAGGTCAGGGGAGTCTCAACATTGACTTCAATTTTATTGTACTGTTCCTTAACTGAATAGTTCAATTAAGAACATATTTCAGTAAGTCGTAGTTCCAAGTGGATAAGCCAATACTATCATTCTTTTAAATGCCCGCTTGTTCCTAGCCCCTTTAACATGGTAGGTAACATAACAGGGTTCCACGTCATGGAGCAGGCCTTAGGTCCAATCACAGAGTGGTTGGTTACTCCCACGACGTTCATGCTACTATTAATAGCACCAGTGGTCATATCTTGTCAGGCTAGTTGTTGATAACTTATTGCTACACCTGTAGATCATAGCATTTCCACCCATCCTCAAGAAGCTTCTTCTTTCAGTAGATGGCAATCAACACAGATTATTTCAGCTGCTCAATAGGCAGAGAATTTAACAACAACAACAACAACAACAACAACAACAACAACAACAACAAAAATGTGAAGTGCTCATCCCTAAATGGGACACAGATATCATACCCCTCCCTCTTAGGCTCAGGGATCTTGGTGGAAGAGGGAGGGCGGGCTGGGGAGGGTAGTGATGGGACAGATTGCAGGTGGATATATTCAAAATACATTGCCTGAAATTCTCAAAGGATTAATAAAAATATTTTTAAAATAAACAGAACATTTAATGTTTAGAAAAATAATAGATAGCAAGAAGATGAATAGATAAACTAAGGTGAAGTAATCTTATTAAAAAGTGCTCTTTTAATACCTCATGAGACATCCATGTTGATTTTTCATTTCTAACCATTTGTAGATTCCTTATTGTTAGTTTAATTATGTCATCACCCGAGAATGAGCATTGCAAGATAGAAAATTGTAAGGTGGCTTGCTGCTGTTTTCTTAGGATCTGAGGTATTACCTGTTTTGCTGAATAATTTTTCCTATAAAAATAGCACTTTTTTTTTTCTGGTGTTGGTTGGAAAGTCCTGTGCATTCCAACTAGTTCCAGTTGGTTATTTTGATAGTTCTCTGCTCACCTTCCTGGTTTTCTGTTTGGGTTGTAGCTGCAGACTTAGTTGTTAGTTTTTAAAGTCAATTTTTTTTACATATTTTAAACTATGTTCTATGTATGTATATTTATGATCTTTATTTTCTTGGTGACTGTTCTTTGATTATGTGATATTTCTACTTATCTATGGTGATTTCAGTTGTTCTGAAGTCTACTTTGTCTAATATCAACATAACTGTTAAGTTTTATTTTTAACTTAAAAATAATCTTTGTACTTC